GGGCGTGCAGAAACTCAGCTTTTCTTCATGATGATTGGATGATCTTGCTGAGGCTGAATCCTTTTTGATTGACAGCGAAATGAGCCAATGATCTTATGGTGAAGGCATTGTTTTCATTTTTTGGAAAAGGAACTGAGAGTAGAATTCATGTATAAATAAACGGACACATTTTATGATGTAGGCTGAAATTGAGCTTCCCCTCCTTGACAGACCAGCATCCGCCATTGGTCTCTTCATACGAAAATATCAAGTTACGAAACGCCTCACCAGGAAAATATTGCCTCTAGTTACGAAAGAAATTACAAGATGCGAAAGGTGAAAATACAGTATCGGCTGCGACTTAAAAAAAATTAAAACGCGGTAACTGATCATTCCACACCCCAAAAACATTAAGTAGTGGCACAGCAGTCGGGGCTTTGTAGTCATCGCCCAAGTGCAGCTGTAGGATAGACTGGGTTGATTGTTTCCGACTTAAACCCGGTTCCTATAGCAGATCATGTTTATGTTTGCAGATTCAGGACCGCAGTCCTGTTTTTCTTTTAATTCATTAAAAAGAGAAGACAATTCATGTAATAAGACTGCCGACTTTTGGGGGGACTCTAGGGTGATGGCTGCACCCGGATACTAGCGTGGACTGAATGGGTGGCAACAATGGGAAAATGCCATCATGCAAAGAGGGTAACAGCTCACAGAAATGCATTTGGGGGGAAAAAAAACAACTATGAACTAATTCATTTGGGGAAAAACAATTTCAATTATGATCTATACGAACTGAGCGCATTATTTTAACATTTGTGAGGTGGACTTCTACCTACTTCGCAATAGGAAATGAACTTTCCCAACATTGGAGCTCAGCGTATGCTTTCGAGGACAAATGCAAATACCGCATTGGCCCGAATATAAGACGGCCCTGATTATAAGACGACCCCCTCTTTTTCAAAACTCAAGTTTGAAAAAAAGACTTTTTGAACACCAAATACATTTTTATACAGAAAATAATTACAGTCCATCTGAAACAAATGATTATAACAATATATTTGAGAGAAAAAGCATGTTATTTTGCCTCATTCAAATCTTAATATCTGAACCTCTAAATATGTAAACTAAAGTGCATCACATTCGTAAATGAATGGCTTCTGGTTTTTGAAATGTAAATTACTTATAACTTCTCCTCAGCTGCTGGTTAACCTGGCCGATCTTCGACCCACTTTTCTCCAGATTTTCGCTACATTTCTCAATTTTCTGTTATCTCTTCTATTATTTTCTTCTCTTTTCTTTTTTTACCGCTATTTTTATTTTTCTTCTTGGTGCTACCGCTATTTTTATTTTTATTCTTCGTGACAGGGGTTCACTTTGGCCTCGGGAGTCAAGGTCAGCATTCACTTCAATGATATCTGGTGCCATCTAGCGTCGTGAATGGGTATAACGTCTCGACCCCGAATATAAGACGACCCCCACTTTTTCAGTCTTATTTTAACGCAAAAAACACCGTCTTATATTCGGACCAATACGGTATTCACATTTTAGTCTGTTGAATAAATGTATCCACAACTAATCTGTTTAACAAACACACATTTACTCCTTCAAAGAATCATATGTTCATCTAGCTACTGTTCAATGTGTGGTATGAGGACATTAATAAAGAGGTGGGAAAAGCATCAGACTGATGCTGACTGTTAATGAGTCTGTCAAAGTGGTCACATGCGAATCATGTGCTGCATAAGGCTTCATTATACTGCGCCGGTCCGTCATAGCTGTCTGAATGAGTGACCTTAGCAACATTCAGAGCATCTCTAACACACTGTTAGCATTGTTTTTCATTTCTTTCCCAATATGTATTTTAACCTTTTCAGGGACAGCGGTCACTCAGTTTATCATGTTATCGGGCTACAGGGTGCATGAAAGGGCTAAAGGGGACATAAGTGGGGGTTTAATTGATTGCATCAAATATGTGTTCCTCAAGTGTCTACCCACCCATTAAGTGTGAAATTATGAAAATGAAACATTCAATTTGATGATTTGTCTATTTCTAAATACGCATTTGTAAACAAGTCTGGTATCACATCCCAGAAAGTCATGTTTAGGGACACAGTACACTAGTTTTTCAACATCTGTGTTTTGTTTCATGTTTTCTCTGGGTCCATTTTGTTGTGTCTTGTCTCGCTAAATAGGTTTTTGTGTCCGCTTGTTCTCATCAGCCCAGTACCATTGTTGTCTTCCAATCAGTATTGTCAGGCACTTGTATCTTGTCCAGCTGTTCCTTGTTGTCTCGTAAGTTTGTTTGTCTAGAGTTCCCTGGTTTCTTTCAGTCCAGGGGTCCGTTTGACAAAGACTGTTCAGCAAACTTTGTGTTCAACACTGAACTCTGAGTTGATCTGCTCTGAGATAGGAAGCGCTTGAGTTTCCGGTTACAGAGCAGCGGATATGAAACAGTTTAATCAACTGTCTTCACCTGGAGTTAAGGGTGTGCACCGCAACTATGAAAAGCCAGTATCAATGAATCCCCAATTTGATGAGTCACCATGGCAATGGGGAAGAGGAGGGCTGTGTTTTGTCACCCCACTACAACTGTAAATATTAAATTGCTCATGCAGTGAGTGTGAACACAATTTCAGGAAGAAGTGTAATGCCGCTGCGGATGCTAAATAGAGGGAGACCTTTGCTGCTCCGGTCATAACTTTCAACGTAGTTTTTTTGCAGTCACAATCATATAACAGGGAAAAACTGCTGCCTATCAATGAATTGAATTTTTGTGCAATTCCGCAGGGCACTTGGGAACAGCTGAAGATGAAAACATTGTTCAAACGGGTGAGACCTCGGCATAACACACTTTTCTGACCGCCCTGCATACTTAATTAATTGCTCAGCATCTCCCACATTGCACAAAACAATTACATTTGTGAAGAAACGCAGAGCAACACAAAATATCTTCTGGGATGTGGTAGCATGACTAAGATTGGTAAAGTTGCAAATGTAAGGGCAGATTAGGTTGTGTATGTTGACGATGGACATGAAACGGTACTGCTCAAAAAGATAATTGTCTGAAAATACAAAAATATCTAAGCGCGGTCTGATAACTGTCTCCTGATGAATGTACAATTCTCTGCACAGTCATGCTGCAACTTCACCCACGGGATCATTATCAAAAGGACATGCCATGTTTGTTGCCACCGACTGTGCCTAACAGAACTCTCATATACTGACTCTGATTTTTATTAAATGACAGACGGCAATACTAAACTATGCCAAAACTCGTCTGTTGATTGAAAGAATGAGAAAATGTAATGGAGCGTAAGGCCCTGAAAGGGGGCGGACACAATAAGAAACTTGAGGTTCATTGAGAAAAACCTGGCCCCGACGAGGTTAGCTTCATATAATCTGTTATGCGGTAACTGACCAAGTGCTTAAATTACCCTTTCCCTCTAAAATAGGCTTGAGTTACCCCTCTTTCTCTGATTTGAGTTGCCTTCCTTTACTCAAGAGTTTCCTCTCATTTTAGGGTTAACAGACTCACAGTTAACTTGTGTGAAACAGACCCTTCACTCCTTGCTTGCATGCTTCCCTGCACATGAGTCCTCCCCATTTTTGCCTCAAGCACCACAAAAACCCCCAATTTGTGACAAGTCCAATTCACCAAATAGCTAATTAAAAATAGGGTAGGAAAAATCAAGACATACACAATACAAGTACGCGAATCATTCAGTGGTATGCGATCATGAGAACTGGTGGGCCTGCTGTAAAGTGGTGGTGCAAGGAATGAAAGTGCTATTGTCAACCTTCTTTGTCCCTTACACGAAATTCGTCCTGGGCGCACAATGTGGCCTGGTTGCATTACATTGTGGGATCTGTCAAGCAGGGCATCCATAGCAATGAGCCTCTCACCAAGCCATGGATGTATTATTAAATGTGAACTGTAATAACCAACTCATGTGGACAGTGGAAGTTTGGGACTCACAATATAAAGTAATGTAACGGCATTTACTCCAGTGGATTGCTTGATCAGGTTACAGGTTAGCATTATTTGTGCATGAAAGGGTTAAATTAACAAGACTTCTCTTTTCAGTTGTCTTTCCTTCCATTTTAGACATTGCTTGTCCTCATTTGGGTTGCGGGTGGGTGAACCTATCCCAGCTGACTTTCAGCGAGAAGCAGCTCTGACCCTGGACTGGTCACAAGCTATTAATATCTGAAAACTGGCGTACTTGCTGAAAACCCACCGAAGCACAAGGAATGCCGGTCCCTCAAAACTCCACACTGACCTCTGCCCGTTTTGGGCCTGAGAACAAAATTTGAAGTCTATTATAAGATTATTCTGTACTATCAGACCTCTTTAAAATGAATTTAATCAGTGGCAACTGAAACAAAAATGACCTCTCAATCGTCGAGTCTATGGGGCTAATATGGCTCCAATTCAACGTGTGAATATGTTTTTAACCCACAGTCCACTCTAAATCAACACATAATATATGACATCTATGAACTATCTATGAAAATCAATGTCTTATTTGTCCAAATGTCTGATGAAACTGACAAATTAAAAAAAAACACGCTCTGCGTAACATACAGTATGTACTGTAAAAATGCCCCGAGGCTGGCGGAAAATGCACGACAACTCTATTAACCCCCCCCCCCCCCCCCCCATCATGGTAATGACACAAGACTGAGACGAGTCAGCCATTTCCCCTATCTCCAATCCGAGTCTATACAAACTGGTAGAAAAAATAGGACCCAATCACTAACTCACAAGGCTTCATGTCAAATTCAGTCTCCTAGACTGAACATGTATTCATTCACCGAGGCCCTTCTATGTATTTTAAATGTAGTGCATACACTGTCAAAAATGTACTAATGACGGACAACAACCTATACAGTATATACGTTGTATGAGTATACACTTGTCCTAAAATTTTAGGCCAGGTTATTTAGTTTCCTCAAATTGAGTAGACTGACCACTTCGCAACTCATTGTCCTGATCTGAGAGTCTTTTCTAACCTACTCACCTCAATCTGCAGTCAGGGTTCGAGAGGGGCCCGTTGACCTTTTCACCAATGAACTGGTCTAAGGTCTGCCAAAGGGGGAAAAAAAAAAGCAGACGAAACCTTTCGGAATGCTGTAGTAGTTCCTTTGGCAGGACAGGGTATGAATCCCAGAGAAGTCCTGAGACAAACACCGTTTGTGTCACCACTGAGAGTTTTTTTTTTTTTTTTTTGCTGCTGCAGCTGGAGTGAGCACGACGCTCTCTGCACTGTGGATCGGCAACTTCCAGCTCCGGGCCGAGAATGATTCAATTGGTCACGTTACTCTGCATGGAGCCTATTAGTGTTCCCGGAAGACAGACGACAGAAGGAGGGCGGGGTGGAAGAACAACACCTTGTCACAGTTCATTCAAAAAGCAGCTTGTTGCTGGTTCGTGTCCCGCTGCTACTGGAAAAAAAAGAAAACAAAAGTGTTGAGAATGTGTCTGCATGCAACATATTTCAATATTTGTACACATGCAACGCGATCCCATTGTGTTTAAGATCATTATATGTGTGGTTTGCCAAAACATATACCTAAAATTGTTGTAAGTAAATAAATAAATAAGAAGAAACAATGTTCAGACAATCTGCGCTCCTTCTGTGTTATGCTAAGTTAAAACAATGCAAATCCCAAGGGTCTGCTGAAAAGACTTTTGCATTCTGCTTGTGCGTACCTTCCGAGGACATCATGAGGACGTGCTGCAGTCCATGAAGTTTTGGTCTTGTAGGATTTCAAAAATATGTTGCTGTGGTTTTCACGGCAACCTCCTGAATTGATCGTGACACAGTTACTCCATCACTGCTTGACCGCAGAATGGCGTATTAACCACGGGGTTTCTTTTCTGGTGACAAAAGAATAGCAAAGGCACATGACAGGAGGTAAAATCTCTGCGATGCTTTTTGACCTTTGAGCAGTAGGACACACAAAATACGTTCATGATTATTTAGAATGTGGGATTATTACAAGTGAAGACTCCTTTTTTTTTTTTTGCCATAACAGTCCTGAGCCACTTCAAGATCTATGTGGTCCAACATAGACCACAGACACCTACTACCATGAGCACCACTTTCAGGACAGCACCGGCTGAGTGACAACTTGAGGCCCACTTTAAACAACACAGCAGAGTCTACAGCTGTGCAAGCAGCTCTGTGAGGCTGCAGTTAGCCACAGGGGTACGAAGGCAAACCAATAGCATCTTCATCAAATTGGTCTTCCTATGTATTTAGCAAATTAGCATTCTGCTATGATCATTCAAATATCAAATAAGTTTGTCTTTATTTTTGATTATTGATGATGATTATTTCTCTGACTGGACTCCCTCAAAAGAGCATCAAACAGCTGCAGCTCATTCAGACTGCTACAAGTCGGGTTCTGAACAGAACAAAGAGATCAGAACTTATTACTCCAGCCCAGAAGGCCTTCCACTCGCCCCCACCCAGCTATAGAATAGATTTTAAAGTTCTGCTACTGGTCTATAAATCACTGAATGGTTTGTCTCATGAATACATTAAAGAAATGCTGATTGAATATTCGGCCAGTCGGATTCGGAAATATGTAGACTTAGGTCATATAGTGGAGCCCAGAGTTCAAAGTCAACATGGTGAAGCTGAATTTCGTTGTTAGGCTGCACACAAATAGAATAAGCTGGCAACAGAAGTGAAGTCAGCAGAAAGTGTAAAAGTTTGCTCCCCCCTGCCCCCCATGCCTTTGCTCAAGGTCTTCTCATCTTTTTTAAATTATTTTTCTTTTAGTAATTTAAAATAATTAAAATAATTTTACAACCTTCTTTTAAATTTTATTTTACTTTCAAAATGTTTTTTTGTTAATGAAAGTGTTCTGTCAATGTGCTTAATCCTTTCATCATCCTGTAACCTAATAACATAAGCTGTCCACTCTCGTAACCGCTGTCCCTGTAAAGGTTAAATGGTTTCATTGTACGCTCTTTTGGTCATTTTGGTAAGACATTTGTTTTCCCTGCTTTGCTTCTGAAAGTCATTTACTGTCGTTTGTAAATGCTTTAGGTATTGCGTCTTTGCTCGTGTAAAGCACATTGAGTTACCTTGTGTATGAAATGTGCTATATAAATAAAACTGCCGTGCCTTGCCTAAACAATCCAACAAAAGACAACTTGACAAGTCACTGTCAACCACCTCTTCAAAGAGAAACAACACTCTTTGTGTACAAAAATTTACATATTGTGGACAGAGAAGAGAGATGGTTTGAAAGAGTAGTTGAGGGCGGCCTTCTAAGGTCCATTGTGAGAAAAAAACATTCTGAACAGACGTTGAGGTATGCGGCACCACCTACGTATTCACCACATACAATGCTGTCCTTTCATCTCTTCCTAAGAGATTCAATAATTTAGCCTCCAACAAATAAACAATGACATTTGGCTTTTGGATATCTACGGCCATAATTGCAACTGAATGGATGATTCCTGGGAATACAGAGAGCTGCATAAATGACAATATTCACAGAACTGTTCAGATAACTCTTATAGGATTGATCTGAAATGGCTGGTGGGCCTTGTAGTTTTTTACATTTGCAGTGTTTCCCTGTTCTGTAACCATATAAAATTGTTGCACTTAAAAATCAACATGTTTCAATATGTAATTGAAATAACAGTTTTATTTCTTGAAACAGCGATAGTACACTGACTTGCAAGGTATAGTCTAAGGCAGGGGTCACTAACCTTTTTGATAAAGTTCGTGGATGAACTGAATGAAGTTTGGATCCCACAAACAGACATAAACAAAATCAGTAACAAAAAATATTCATTTATTAACAAAAGAGCACCAACAAAGTATAAACAGACATCGCTGGTCACAAGGAACCTGGAAAAACAATGCATTAAAAGAAAGAGCTTGCAAAGATACGGCAATAGTAAATCCAAGAATATAAACGAAATGACAAGAGTCTAATTGCACGAAACAAAACAAGAATTAGAGCGAAAGATTAGATAATATCAATACCTACAAGCAAGAGACGAGAGAGCAAAAAAAGACAATGACAAGATCAAGAGATCTAGAAAATAATACTTGCATGAGCAGCAAACAAGGACAATAGTCCAACGGGGACTTGGCAATTAGGCAGTCCTTAAATACATGGCTAACTTGATGTAAACATTGGCAGCAGGTGTGCACGCTGGAGGGAAGTCCCTCCTTTGCCACCTGTTGGAGACTCACAAAAACAGGATCATGGCACTTTTAAACTGAGAACTTCTTGGGTATTGATTGATTTGCTTTTAATTGATTGATTCACAAATGAATTCCGCTTCGCAACCATTTGGAAGTACTGTATTTATAGATGTAGATATCGCTTACTACTACACTTTGTGTCTACAGTCTTAATTTCTTCACATTTTTCAAAAACAGCATACATTTAGATTTAGTGCAAAGAGCATACCATTTTTTTCAACTCTCAGAACATCAAATTGTTCAGATTTTCAGCATGCAAACCCCAACATTTAAAAAAAAACGAACACTTGCAGTTTTGTAAATGTATTGTTTTATAAACAAATGAAGATTAAAACAGTATTTCATGCAATTCCGAATACCGTGAGCAAACTTAATTTGAAAATATTGACATCATAGCAAGCAGAAAAACAGAGTCGATGATTTTATTCCTCCTTTCAAGGAAGAAAACCATCAGGGGTAACACGTGGTAAGGAAGATTTGGTTTGGAGGAGGGTAAATGCCTGATAAGGTGTCTTATTATTTTCAAGTGATGATTGGTTGGCGCGTGTGGACAAAATGTTCCGGTCCTGCAGTGCCACCTTGTGGCGTTCCTGCGTCTTTGAAGTGCGTCTTCTCTTTTTCAACGTTGAACTTCCATGTTGCTTGTGTGGCGCCGGAAGAACTCTGAAAAAAAGTCTTTCAGCACACTGGGTATACAGAATATTCGCTTGTTTAATTTGAATTCGGAAAGGTTTAACATGGTAATTTACATACTTATTTTGCATTGTCCGTAGCTCCGAACTGTGATGTGTTTACCAAGCAAGGCAATTGAGCTGACGGTTGGAACTAGTGCCCTTGGAGAGCGGAATGCGGAACCGAAATGTAAAATGTGTAATTACTGTACTAATTGGTTGACATATTTGAAAAGAGAACGTCATTACTTTTATTGATGAGTAAAACTCTATGTTATTAGGATGGAATTATGATATATTTTTGGGAAAAAACGGTCAAATATGGCAGCAATGTCTTGTTTTCAAATACTGTATAGATGGCTGAGCACTCGAAACAAAACGCCCTCAGTATCTTCAAATGCTTCTTCATCATGATTTCTATCATAAAGGAGGGTACAGTGGAGTGGGCCGAGGGATGGAGCGAAAGGTTGGAGTGTCTGGACCCATGGCTTCCAGATCAGAAAGGAGAGAATTCCATTATTTTCGGTTGTCAGCATAAGGGTCAGTGGGGATCGGTGCCGTTAACCACATGGCTTCTGCTTATCATATTTGAGCGTGTAGATTGGAGAACAATCCATGCGTCTATTTCGACTCAGAAGGCGACTGACAAACTGACAACTGACAAACAACCAACTGACAAACGAGGCGTTGTTAGAGTTCCTTTTCCATGACTGCATATTATTGATATTAACTCCTTTCCGCACCCTCCGCTTCTCAAATACAAACCTCCTCGCCAACCCCATGACCAAACCCAAAACCTGGGAGTACCAAGCCCCCTCTGTCACCGCTCCCACCCTCTGGAACTGTCTACCTCAACACATCCACGACTGTACTGAGCTCCCAGCTTTTAACATCTTTTACATCTTCGTTACTTATTTCTTGCTTTGTTTTTCTTTTCCTGACCTTTATGTGTTTTGAAATGTATGTACATTCTGTTTTAAACTGCATATTTTAATCTTGTATGTCTTAATACTTGATGTAAAATGTCTTTAAGTGCTGTGAAAAGCGCTTTCAAATAAAATATTAAAATGTAATATTATTATTATACCGAGTTCGATTCCGGCTCCGGCCTCCCTGTGTGGAGTTTGCATGTTCTCCCCGTGCCGACGTGGGTTTTCTCCAGGTACTCCGGTTTTCTCCCACATTCCAAAAACATGCATGGCAGGCAGATTGGACACTCGAGTCTAAATTGTCCCTAGGTGTGAGTGTGTGAGCGGGTGGTTGTTTGTCTCTGTGTGCTCTTCATGAGCTGGCAGCTGGTTCATGGTGTCCCCTGCCCGCTGCCAGAAGACAGCCTTGATAGGCTCCAGCACCTCCTGCGACCCGTGTGAGGATAAAGTGGTTCAGAAAAAGGATGAATATTATTATTTTTATTCATCCTCAAATAATGGTGGGCAAAATAATACGGGGCCGGTGTTGCCCACTCCTCAGTAGGGAAAGTAGCTATTGGGGGTCCAAAAAGTAGCTAGAGGTCGCTAAATGACCATGTGCATGCTGTAATGGACGCTGTGCGAGAGGACTTGGCATGCGCGATTCAATTGCAGACTGGATAGTGAACATCTGCTCTGACTGCAGCTGGGAGGGGCACTGCGAGAAGACTGGGACGCCTGTAAGTATTCTTACGGCAAAAATGCTCAAATGGCTTGCCATATTGCTCTGGGACGGGTGGAGAGGCCGACGGAAGCACCCGCTGCATGTCGAGAATAATATGAAAGATACGTGCTTTTAAATCGGAGTCTCCAATAACCAGGGGCGTCACTAGGTTTCAAGAACAAGGGGGGCTTAGCCCCAAGGGGAACACAGCCCCTTTAGGGGGGTCCGGGGGCATGCCCCCCCGGGAGGGTTTTTTTCTACATTCTGTTTAAAATCCATCAATTCCGTGCACTTTGAGAGCAAAATGAAGAGGATATGAAGAACTAC